CACACTAAAACAGTATTTCAGGGCCAGTGATCAGGGGACCAGATGATTCTTAAGGAAACAAAAACTTTTAAACATCAAGAAGCAGCATCCATTGTAGGTGATTTAATCAGCCTTTGAAATGGCCTACAAACATTTGACTTTAACATCACTTAAGGGGAATCTCACCACTGTGAGAAGGGCAGAGCTACAAATAATATTGAGAAATCTCCCCTTTGTGGGAGGAACACAACCTACTGCAGGGCAATCTCACCATTGTGGGAGGGGCAGAGACACAAACTACTGCAGGGCAATCTCACCATTGTGGGAGGGGCAGAGAAACACACTACTGCAAGGAAATCTCTCCATTGTGGGAGGGGCAGAGAAACACACTACTGCAAGGAAATCTCTCCATTGTGGGAGGGGCAGAGAAACACACTACTGCAAGGAAATCTCTCCATTGTGGGAGGGGCAGAGAAACACACTACTGCAAGGAAATCTCTCCATTGTGGGAGGGGCAGAGAAACACACTACTGCAAGGAAATCTCTCCATTGTGGGAGGGGCAGAGAAACACACTACTGCAAGGAAATCTCTCCATTGTGGGAGGGGCAGAGAAACACACTACTGCAAGGAAATCTCTCCATTGTGGGAGGGGCAGAGAAACACACTACTGCAAGGAAATCTCTCCATTGTGGGAGGGGCAGAGAAACACACTACTGCAAGGAAATCTCTCCATTGTGGGAGGGGCAGAGAAACACACTACTGCAAGGAAATCTCTCCATTGTGGGAGGGGCAGAGAAACACACTACTGCAAGGAAATCTCTCCATTGTGGGAGGGGCAGAGAAACACACTACTGCAAGGAAATCTCTCCATTGTGGGAGGGGCAGAGAAACACACTACTGCAAGGAAATCTCTCCATTGTGGGAGGGGCAGAGAAACACACTACTGCAAGGAAATCTCTCCATTGTGGGAGGGGCAGAGAAACACACTACTGCAAGGAAATCTCTCCATTGTGGGAGGGGCAGAGAAACACACTACTGCAAGGAAATCTCTCCATTGTGGGAGGGGCAGAGAAACACACTACTGCAAGGAAATCTCTCCATTGTGGGAGGGGCAGAGAAACACACTACTGCAAGGAAATCTCTCCATTGTGGGAGGGGCAGAGAAACACACTACTGCAAGGAAATCTCTCCATTGTGGGAGGGGCAGAGAAACACACTACTGCAAGGAAATCTCTCCATTGTGGGAGGGGCAGAGAAACACACTACTGCAAGGAAATCTCTCCATTGTGGGAGGGGCAGAGAAACACACTACTGCAAGGAAATCTCTCCATTGTGGGAGGGGCAGAGAAACACACTACTGCAAGGAAATCTCTCCATTGTGGGAGGGGCAGAGAAACACACTACTGCAAGGAAATCTCTCCATTGTGGGAGGGGCAGAGAAACACACTACTGCAAGGAAATCTCTCCATTGTGGGAGGGGCAGAGAAACACACTACTGCAAGGAAATCTCTCCATTGTGGGAGGGGCAGAGAAACACACTACTGCAAGGAAATCTCTCCATTGTGGGAGGGGCAGAGAAACACACTACTGCAAGGAAATCTCTCCATTGTGGGAGGGGCAGAGAAACACACTACTGCAAGGAAATCTCACCATTGTGGGAGCGGCAGAGACACAAACTACTGCAGGGCAATCTCACCATTGTGGGAGGGGCAAAGACACAAACTACTGCAAGGAAATCTCACCATTGGGGGGAGGGGGGGGCAGAGAAACACACTACTGCAAGGAAATCTCACCATTGTGGGAGGGGCAGAGACACTAATGCAAGGAAATCTCACCATTGTGGGAGGGGCGGAGACACAAACTACTGCAGGGAAATCTCACCATTGTGAGTGGGGCAGAGACACAAACTACTGCAGTGAAATATCACCATTGTGGGAGAGGCAGAGACACTAATGCAAGGAAATCTCACCATTGTGGGAGGGGCGGAGACACAAACTACTGCAAGGAAATCTCACCATTATGGGAGGGGCAGAGACACAAACTAATGCAAGGAAATCTCACCATTGTGGGAGGGGCAGAGACACAAACTACTACAGAGAATCCTCACCATTGTGGGAGGGGCAGTGACACAAACTACCATGGAAAAATCTCACCATTGTGGGAAGGTCAGAGACACAAACTACCGTACAGGAAATCTCCCCATTGTGGGAGCCACACTTTGGCACTGCCCCAAAACAGACGCTGACTGCAAGTTAAAGTAGAGAAGGAGAGATGCATACTTGTATAAATGGGGTGGTAGGGGAGCAGTGCACAAGAGGCAAACTCCAGCCCTGTTTATATTTTACGGAGAAAATAAAAAAAATTGTACTGCACAGCATCACTAGTGATAATGCAGCTGTGGTATGTGTACTGCTAAGCTTACTGTGATAGGAAAAATGGGCACCTTTAAAGGGTACAGTACTTTTGACAACTATTCTTAGAATAAAGTGAGGGGTATTGAATGTATGAGCCTCAGATATGGTTATTAGAGTAATTTTTTTTTTTACATTCTACATTTTTTTAAATTGTAATTATTTATTAGTGATCAGGTGATCACCTATGTAATCCTATTGATCAATTATATATATCATTAATCCTTACTATTGGTTTGGGCAGATATCCCAGCACTGTATTGTGATTTGTATTTATTATTGAACACATTCTTAGTTTTTTTTCTGTTTTTCTCCCCCAAAACTTGGAAACTTTGGGGTTTGGGATGGTTAATGTTCCTGTGCTGAGCGATTTTCAGGGGGTCTGACATTCCATCTAGGTGGGTAATGTACTGGAGTACTATAATAAACTGATGATTTGTGAAGTTTTTAGGCCCAGAACACGGCTATATGCGTTCTTGAAAACGTCCTAGGGTGCTCCCATGTTCGAGCAATAGAGACGTATGGCATGCCAAGACAAGATTTGTGTTTTCATACACCTTTAATTGAAATAATATGATATTATACATGCAAGAACTTGTTTAGATAACCAATTTGGAATTTGAATATTGTATTTAAATAGATTTGTAATTCTGTGTTTATATTTTTAGATCCTTGTCTCCTCACTTACTCTTGAAGAAGTGGACCTGTTATTCAGGAAATGCGTCTCAACTGCTTTATGTCAAATTGTCAATCACTGTTCTGTATATTGGATCATTTCTTTTGGATTTGAGAAATTATGTTTGACTAAAGAGTTTTAACATTGTTAGGACATAATCAGAATTGATGGGCCTGAGGTGGAAGTTTGAATGCTAGATTAATATGCATTTTTTTTAAACAAATAAATATTTAATAGAGGGTACGTACATACCACTGAAGTCAGTGGCATGTTAAATGGTGCTTGAGCTATTGAGCTCTGTAAACATGCTTTTTCTGCAATGTTTGCAAAGCAGACACAACTAGTTTGAAAAAAAAGAACGAAGGAACCTAAAACTCCATCTGTTTGCTGGAAATACAAATAATGTATATGCAATATTTCATCTTTAACTAACCAATTAAAAAAAATATGTTTATCTTTTCATACAAAGAAAATATAAATAAATCAACTATACATTTCCTGTAAGCACTACATTTGTAGTAAGCAGACCAGAGCTCACTTCTGTATCATGTCAGGAAAAAACAACGTACCTTATGGACAAAGGACACCTAGGTATAATCAGGTTTTTTTCACATTTGTGAAGAGACTTACAAAAAGGAAGAGGCGTTACCAGGAAATAAAAATTTGAATACTGAAAACAAAACATGACATGGGTCCCAGTATTGCGTTGGCTTCATTGATGCCAAATACAATGACTGTGTACAGGTGAATATGAGAAGCTTACATATTCTTGGTATTATGGATGGGAACCCATATAAGCCAAAGAAATTATTTCCAACTGCAACAGGTAAGTATTGGGAGGGAGGTGGAGGGGGACGGAAGGGAGATTAACAGAAATGGGGAGAGAGAGATAAGAAGGATGGGAAGGGCAAGGTAGAGCAATGACTCCATCTTCATTCATTTCAGATACAAGGAAAACATTGTCAAGGACCTAAAGTGGTCCCATTGGGCCCACGCCACATAGTGAAGCCCATATTTGTCTTCAAAAGACACTTTTAAATGCATTTGTAGATATCCTAAGTAGCCAAGATCAACAGAACTGAAAACTGCAAAAATATACCTCACAGATACCTCACAGATCACTTGTTTTTTAACACATGATACAGAAGCCCTATAAGACACTGATTATTTTAATGACCTTTCTCTATAGCCTTGAATTGTATTTTGCCAAATGTTTTTAAAAGTGATGTAAACTATGAATGAACATGCTGTATGTAAAGTGAGCTCCAGTGACACCCTCTTCTCTACATGGGGTAATGTGACCTATTCGCATTGCCAGCAGGTAGCAGAACCGGATAAGCTATGAAGTGAGACATATGCAGAGCTGTATTGGCAGGGATATAACGTATACTAAAGAGAGAAATACACATCTCTGGCTGGGATGATGATTCTTAGGATTCTACAGAGTGTTTTCATTCATATTTTCCTGCACAACCACTCTGATTCAAAAGTAAAATAAAACAACAAAAACAGAAAGGCATAGTCCGGCCATTCCTATTACACAACAACATGTGCCATGAATAGATTTAAAGGGGCTAGCCAAGTACAGACTCACATTTTTCAGAATATAGCGGCCTTACAGCATGAGCGGCAGTGAGAGAAACAAGAAGACCACTGTGAGAGAATGACCAATAACAAATGTGTAGGCTGCATTGTTACCCTACTTCTCTGGCGTTCATGCTGATCCAGTGGCTACAATGCTGTCTAAATGAATGGTAAACAATACAGAACACTCATACGGTAAGTGAAGTCAAACTCTAATCCACATATTTGTTTTGGGCGATTCAGAAAACACTATAGCCAGAAAATCAGCAAAACAACTAGGGAGAAAGCATTTTCAGGAGAGGTCAGCTGTCTATGTGTTTGTCTTCACCTGGAAAATAAGGTTTCCTACCTGCGTATCCCCCTGTGGACTTGATATACATCTGCCCATAATGATCCTCCACCATTGTGTCATAGGCCTCATCGTCCTCCTCATCTTCCTCGTTGTGGTAGGATGTTGGGCTGTCTGTGGTCGGTATGCTGCTTGCACTAGGGCTTGTGCGCTCACCTTGTGAATATGACACTTGCTGTACATTGGGGAAGAGTGTAGCTAGGGTGGACATGCCATAGTAAGAAACCCGTTGTAGTTTTGGTGTTGTCGCTGTAGACAAGGCTCCTCCCGTGCTGTCCCTGTTTTGAGGCTCTGTTGGCCTCTTGCCAGGCACATTGGGAACCGCAATTGGCTGCACCTCCAAACTCTCATTTTTCACTCGGGTGAGAAGTGGGATGGGCATGGAAGGAGACATTACATAGGATGCAGAGGTGGCGGTGCCCGTTGTCTGGTTGCAGGGGCTCTGGGGTTCTGAACTGGTATCTTCAATCATGGTGGTCTGAGAGTCACAATGAGGCGAGCTCACCTTGAACATCAAGTCCGTTCCTCGCTCTACGATGTGCTGAATCTGAAGGAAGCCGGCTGTGTACATCACCACAAGCTGCTCGCTAGCAGCCATAGTCAACTTTCCGGTGTAGCAAAATGACAATATCTGCTGGAAGCACGCTGGCGGCACCGTAGCTGGCAACTCAAAGGCGCTCTTGCTGTTACCGCTGAACAGATCTCTAAAGTACAGGCTGCTGGCCGCCAAAACAGCACGGTGCGCCTTGAAGGCCTGGCCTTTCACAACAATGGAGACATCGCAATAGAGTCCCATAAGCCTCTGCTCGTTCAAGCATCCCAAGACGGTGTTCCCAAAATTGGGAATTTCTATATGTAACATCTGTGACATGGCTGGGCAGTGACGAAGCAGGCCTTGGACATTCAGCAGGGTCGCCAGAAAGACTGTTCACATCTGGAAAAGAATATAACAAGTTTGGATAAATAAAAATATAATACAACTTGAAAGGCCAGTGAAGATCAGTTATAACATACATGAGGTCATCTTACATCTAAGGGGGAGGAATTTGGGAGTTTATCAGTAGAGGAAATTGTCAGCCACATTTCTGATCCTAAGAGGAAATATTTTCAAGCAGAAAGCTGAATTCCCATAAGTATTTCCATTGTGGGAAATTATGAGTTGCTCTCCCCTTGAGTGGTTGTGCTCAGCTACCCAGCAAATACAGAGGCCAACTTTATTATTGACATGACATTTTTATATACAGGTTTGTGAATGAAAGTTGTAGCTTTTTCATAATTGATATACTCCGTAATCTTTCTGGGTTATTAGTGTAATGTTTACATGACCGTAATTTAATGTAATTTTCACATTTTAACTTGCTGCGGCACATTTTCATGATCATATTTCATGTAGGGATGCGGTGTGCCCTCTAGTGGCTAGAAGTTAGTAAGACGACATTCAGTATCCATACTGCTGAGGAAAAAACCTACAACATGGTAAGCCACCTGAAGAGCATACTCTGTTCAATGAGATATAAAATGGCTTGAGTAGCAGGCGACATAAAAAATTGTGTTTCAACCTGAAGTCAGTCATGATTTTCTGTAATTCCTATAAAATGAAACTTCCCCTAAAGCCATGGCAACCACACTCTGTTTCACAACAGGATTTCCCAGGATTCTCAACCCCCAGCTTTGGTAACTAGTTCAGTACCTACTGCAGAACCTCTACAGTGATTGAAGTCAAATTACGTGGAACGTAACATTCCTGTAAATTTTGGGGAACTAAACATTTCATATTTGGTTTACATTCACATAATAAAGTAAAGTGGGCTGTAAGGTTTCCTTTAACAATGTTGGGATTGATCATGTGATTATAGTACAAGCAATACTTCTTGGCACTCACCCAGAGAGCCATGTGTGGTCTGTGCCCTTATATAAAGTCAGTGAAGAGAGAAGGAGATGACGTAGGTGTCCATGTATGTCTGGGCGGATCTCCCATAGGGGCTTGGGCTTAAAACAACCCTCCGCTCTCTGATATCGGGGACTGTAAATGACCGGGCAGAATCCCTCAGTACAAAAGTAAAAAGAGTTGAACACTTCCCTGGAGATCCTTTGTGAGACAGAGCCCCGCGACAAGAGATAAACTTTAGACAACGTTCTGCTAGTTCTCATCGGCAAGCTCACTGGTAGCAGATGGAGAATGATTGTGTCTGCTGGCACGAAGGAGAGCGGAGAACCCCAGTTCACGCAAAAAGGCTGTAAATCGTACTGTCTCGTTATTATGCCTCAAACATGCAATATGTTGTGGATTTTCAACTTATGTTAGCACTCATCGACTCAGCGCTGACTCATCACAGTTTGCCAGTGAGGAATGTGAAAAAATATGAACTTAGTCTTCATCAGCCTGACTAATCCCAACTGATAGACAAGGGTCGAGGCGTCGAGCTCCTCGCACAGCATCCAGTGCTGCTGCACGTGACCATGGTGAGGTGAAAGAGCTAGCTGCCAATTGGCTCTAACTGGTACTCTGGGACTCCTCAAAGAGTATGTAAAGACATACTATTGTATGCGATGGCTAGAACTTCTGTCAATTTTTGGCGTCATTTTTTCCTTAAGTTTCTGTCCTGGAGACATAACAGGAAATGAGAGGAAATCTCCCTAAAGTCTCAAAAAAAACCCCACACCCCCTTAAGCAGTCATCCCCGGAACTGGTTTCCCTAGTGAACGATTTCCCCTTAACTTCTGTTTTGGTGGCAAAAAATTATGAACTTCTTATCACATTGTGTCTCAGTGCCAGTGGTCACCAGGACAAATTGAGAGGCAGAATCTTTCCAGGAGGACACATAGTAATAAATTTAAGAGGGGTTCTAACCCCTTGGTTCTTAACAGGTGGGTCGTGTTCAGGGGGTCACTGCATGCCTTTCACTTTTCTAGGTTAGAGGCTCCTCAGCCTCCCCCTAGTGCAGCACTGTTAGTTCTCACACCAAGTAGCCATTCAAAATATGCTGCCGAGTTTCAGCTTGAGGTGAGGTGGGATGGGGCTATGGCCGCGAGGGAGCTCCATCCATACATGCATTGCTTATAGCTGCCTCACGTGCCCTGTAGAGGTGCATGGAATGGAGTGACATCACATTCTGGCTCCCGGCACCTCTACAGGGCGTGCAAGAGAGCTGCACAAGCAATGCACATATGGATGGAACTCCATCACAGCACAGCAGCCCACACTGGACCTCAGGCTGAGGATCCACTCCAGTTCTCATAAGATAGGGAGACTTTCAAATATATTTTTTTTGGGAGTGTGTGAGAATGTTTGTGAGTGTGTGAGATTGCGTCTGTGGCTGTGTGTGTATGTCAGTGTTTTTGAGGGCCCGTTCACACTAGTACAGTGCGGTACCAAGCAATTGCACCTACCGTGCATTCTGGTGAAGGAGGTGTGTTGCATTGCCATTCTGGTGCAATGCCATGCGTTCCAGTGCGGTGCAACTTGGGTCATGACTTAATGACCAAGGACAAATGTGAGTCCTGAGGTTACACAGGATAAGAACCACTGGTCTAACCCATCCCTACTCTATCCAACACTAAAAAATATGTTTTAGCTGGAGATAAAATTTCATCTTCGGGATTACAGGACAGGAGGTCAGCTGTGCATTGGAAAATATCCCCCCCCCCCCCCCCCCCCACTCTCATTTTTTTTAAACCCCCCCCCCCCCCCCCTCCACTGTGTCATCTTCATTTAAATATCTAAACGTCTGATAAGATGTGCACATTTCGAAGAACATTATTTAAATATCATCTATACAAACCAACATCTTTCATATCTACTGCTGCTTTCATCCATGTTTACTGGTTCACAACTAACTGTTACACGTGGAGGCGCAACAAACCAAATGACAGTGTTAGCTCTTCGCGAATGGACAGGCTACCAATTGGTCAACATGGTGACAATCAAATGCATAGGCACAACCTTACCACCAAATGACCATTATTTGTCATTGTGGGAGTATGTGAATACTTATTGCTCCATCATACATTTTCACGAGGTGGGCACATATTTTGCAGATACCCCCAGCCTTATGTCTGGAGAAGGAAAGGCAGTAGCACCTGGCCAAACTGAACTGGGGGTAGGGGGGTGTCTGCTGGAACCCCACGTCAAACTGCCCAGATGAGGCAAAGCGATCTTTGATATTTGTACCTTAAAAGCGACTATATCCCCCAAAAAGGACCTTTGCATTTTTTGAGTAGCACGTTTCCACCAAGTCCATCAGTGTCCAGGTGAATGTTACAATGTAGCAATATTCATTAAAAACAGGATCACTGCTTTTGACTCCATGCAACACATAGAGCGGTAGATTTAAATAAAAGTTGCAAGGACTCCACATTTTCCACTGCTCATTATTAGGCATGAGCGGTATCAACATACAGAAATAACTGCAATCCCTGGATCCTTTCAGCTTACTCTACAACACCGAGATCTTGATAATGTGACCGATTTACTTTTAAGAGGAACACCGCAAGGCAATTTTTGTTTCTAAACTAGCAGCACAGTTTAGGTTCAGCCTCCTGCTGTTTCCTGAAATGTAGCATTCTCAGCCACGTTTCTAAAATCTCTCACGTTACATGTATATCCTGCAGCCAATACATTTATATTGCCTGCAATGAGTGGCAGCCTATGCTCCTGTTCTGACTGCTAACATTCCATCAGATATCAGCAGTTGTGTTATATGCAATAGGGATACAGAGGATGCCAAACTTTGCAAAACCCACCGGCCTCCATGTTCTTTTGTAGCGTTTCTTCCATCAGCTGTCAGTCATAGTGACACATGGGTGCTATGTATGTAGGTTATGGAAGGTAGCCATTAATGTGTCAAGTGGCTTTATGTTATGCCTATTTTAAGTGGCAATGCAAGTTATAAAAGGGACCTGCCACTTTTTGCCATGGTAGCGCACCACAACGCACAGGCAGATCCCCTTGTGGTGCGCTAGGGATGTGGCTTATGGTGCCATTCAAAATGAATCATTTGTTGCGGTATAAAACACGCGTTGACACAAAGCAGAGAAGTGAATTCAGCATAAAAGTAGCGACTAAAATACAATAAAAACTTGCAATAAAAAAGTTAGCTGATCCACAAATTCAAACCAATCATTTAGACATGAGTGACTCTTTTTAGGACACGGGCAGAGAAAGGGTTAAATCCCGCGGCTGTCCCGTCTTCTCCTGCAGGTAGTGCTGAACGGCCAGAATAGACCCTAACAAGGTGGTTTTTCTTCAACTATAAAACCTATGTATGTAATCTTTTCATTGGAGAAAGAAGAGGTTCAGACAATTGCACGACGAGTACCTTACATCAGCAATTTCTGGGAATTCCTTCATTATTCCTAAACCCCCCTGAGGTGGTGGGTCGGGGGGCTGGAAGCAAATCTGAAAAGCAATCTTCTCGCCTCCTCAACCTCTCAGGTGCTGAAATTCCCAAGTGGTTAAAAGTATAACGCAGGGTCCCTCCAACTCCCAAATATCAGGACAGGCTTTCACTTCTTGAAGCAGCCGTACCCTTCTAGCAAACTAGACATTTTAAGGCAGGACTGTGATATAATGAACTACATAAATGATATATTACCAGCTTCATTCACGAGCTTGTGAATGTTTCATTGTAGAGTCCATTCTGCTATATTATATCGCTTTTACATAGTCCGCAGTGCTGTACAAAGAACAATGAACCAGTCACATTAGTCTCTACACCAAAGGAACTTACACTCTAATGTCCCCACCATAGTTGCAGACTATTAATATTATTCCTTTATATAGCTCTGACATAGTCTGCAGTGCAGTATAAAAAACACTGAACCATTTACACCAGTCTCTGCACCAGAGGAGCTTACACTCTAATGTCCCTTCCACAGTCACATACGGTCATTATTATACATTTATATTGCTCCGACATATTCTGCAGTGCGGTACAAAAAAACACTGAACCATTCACACCAGTCTCTGCACCAGATGAGCTTACGCTCTAATATACCCAATATAGTCATGCTTTATTTTTAGTATACACATTTATATAGCTTGGGCTAATATCCTCACCATGCAGCACACACACCTACACAAGCCAATTTAAGTAAAGTTAATCTACTAGAAGGTTTTCGGATAGTGACAAATATGGGCTGAAAAACACAAACTCCATGCAGATAACATTTTTGAAGGGAGCCAAATATTTGACCGCGGTGTTGCAAGGGAAAAGCCCAGCCACACATAGGTTTGCTACATTGTCCTTGCTGTCATGTTGTAGTTCAACCACAGCTCTTACGGCTGTCTGCAGAAAGCTCCCACAGACACAACATTCCATCAATGAGAATGTGCAAAGAGCAATAACCAATCCTCACTGTTCCTTTAACCACTTCACATGTTCGCCCCGGCATACAGATCTCTACATGTCCCTTTGGGCACATGTCCCATTGGGCACAAGGGATACTTTGAGATTCTGTACCAGCACAATGGAACAGGACAGCTATTTATAAACTTACTTTCTTGTTACTGATGTTTTGCACAAAACAAAAATTCAGCCATTTTTCTGTTCTTAATGTGAGTTGACAAATTCTATTTAGGCAGTCGATGCTCCCCTGCAGATATAGAGTTCTATAATAAGTATGCCGGGAAGGGGGG